ACAGATCTCTATCATTTACAGTTGAATTGCATTCTAACTGACACACGTTAACAGTAAAGTAGGGTTAGGAACTCAGGTCTCCTAAACCTAAGCATAGAACTATTTATTAGTGTGTTTATTATTTTGTGAGTGTGTACACAGGTGTGTTCACATGTATGTGAGTATAGAGGTTAGAGGACAACTTCAGATATCAATTCCTCAGGCACTACCCCCCGCCCCTTTTGAGACAGGGACTTTAACTGGCCTAGAACTTGTCTAGCTTTTGGGATCTGCCCATCTCTGCCTCCCCACCACTATGTCTGACCATTTTTAAAGATGATTCTAGGGGGCTCAGCAGTTAAGAGCACTGGCTGCTCTTGAAGAAGATCTGGGTTTGAATCCGGCTAACAACCATCCATAACTCCAGTTCTGGGGATCTGACATCTTCTTCTGGCCTCCATGGGCACTGTACAACATGGATGCACTTATATACATGCAACGTAACACTTTTACACATAAACTAAAAAGAAATAAAGTTAAAAATAGATGATTCTGGGATTGATCTCAGGTCCTTGTGCTTGCAAAGCAAGCACTATACCAACTGAACTATCCTCCTAGTTCCTTTTATGCTTATTACTATTAATAATGAATGTCAGGGCTAGGCGTATAACTTAGGAGTAGAGTGCTTTCAAGCACAAGTCCCAAGGTTTATTTCCTAGCACTGCAAACAAACAAATGAAAATAAATGTTACACTGTGTTGACAGTTTTCTATATACTAGTTGCCAATAATTTTTGAGTTCTTTCTGTACACTAGTAACTATGTACTTTATAAGCTTCACTAACTTATTTAATTCTCATGATGACTTAATAATATAGGAATATTATCATCATTATTCTCATTTTACAAAGAACAGGAGATGTAGAGAGATTAGATAAAGCTTGCCCAAGGTCACACATGTTGCAAGAGGTAGAGGTGAGATTTGAATCCTGGCAGCCTGGTTCCAGGGCCTGCACTGTTAGCTCCCATTATTACAGTCTGTTAGGATATGTGCTCTCCCTCATCCTCTCTACCCATTTTACCGAGGGGGAAGTGAATGCAGACAATTGTCCAATTATTCGCTTAAAATCACTCTGCTAGTCAGAGCTGTCCAGACTCCTCCAGAGCCCAGAATCCTCTAATTCCCAGACTGTTCTCTCTCTTCAGACCACCCTGCTGTCTAGAGGCCACCTGGGCAGACACATAAACCCCACCTTCTGCCTTCCCCTCCAACACCACACACACACACACACACACACACACACACACACACACACACACACACACTACACACACACACACACACACACACACACACACACACACACAAAACCACCCAGCAGGCACCCAGACATTTTTGTGGCCAGGATGGCTACAATCTTCTTTGAAAAGCAGCCAGCTTTTGCCCTCCACCAAATAACTGTTTTATTTATAGTCTCCTGCTCAGAGCTTTTGAACTGGCTGCTCATTCCAGGGAAGATCTTGATAACAACGGTTCCTTGGAGAGGTTTCATAGGAAACAAGGTGAATAAACACCGTGGAGCCCCTGCCTGTCTAGCAGAACATTGCTCCTGGGGGTGTTTATAAGTTGGTGTTGGTGTCTAGGTACAGACTTCGAATTCAAAATGGCAGTTTGGACATTTTCTTTTCTTTTTTTTTTTTTTCATTCAAAAAAGTTCACTCTTTGCCTTCAACAGCCTCAAGGCATAGACAAAAGGAAGACCTTATTTTTATCCAGGAGGTAACTCCAAAAGAGTCTACTGTTCACTGTTTGTGTTTTCTTTGCTCCCTACCTGGCTGGAGGCCTAGGATGTTACAGTAGTGACTATGGGGTGGATATAGGGTGGGCAAACATTTTGTGAATTTACAAGGATTAAAATGGTAGAAGAGAAAACTGTAGGGGGCAAGGAGGAGAAAGAATAATCCTTGTGTGAAAAGTGACCCTATGAACTTATAGTGTCTTCTAACTTGTGTCCAAAAGTGCCATTCTAATGAATGACTAGGAAACTGGAGAGATGGCTCAGTGGTTAGGTGCACTGACTGCTTTTGCAGAGGATCTGGGTTCAGTTCCCAGCATCTACATGGAGGATAACAATCATCTGTAACTCCAGCTCCAGGGGTCCATCACCCTCTTCTGGCCTCCGTGTGCACTGCTCACATGTGGTGTACTTATAAATATGCCAGCAAAACACTCGTACACATTAAAGAGAATGATTCGGTCTGTCATGTGTCTGTAATTATTCTGCATTAAAGTTAATCTTGGCTTCATCAATTGCTGGTTATAACACCTTTGTTATATGCCTCACTTTCTTCTTTGTAAAATGAGAGGACAAACCTAGGAGTATGGTGAGGACTGGCACAACCAGGCATGGGGAATACTGTGCTTGATTCAGAGAGGGCACACATTCAATGTCCTCACTCAACAGTAACTGCCATTATTGCTTCCTTTGTGATCCCTCCAGGCCTATAGGGATAAAATTAGAGCATTCATGAAAGTGAGCCTCAAGTGTGTGGGGGGGTGGGGGGTGGGGGGGGCTAGGGAGCAGAGACAGGTAGCAGCAGGTTGAAGATTCTGGTTCTCATATATTTCCATTTGTGTTGAGTTAATTTTTTGTCAGGGACTATTATAATCAGATGAGGCTTCAGTACTGGAGATCTCATTCTCATATATTTCCATTTGTGTTGAGTTCATTTTTGTCAGGGACAAAATAACATTAGATGAGGCTTCAGTACTGGAGATCTCGTAATGGCTGACAAAGGAAGCAGGGGTCCATGTTGAGCCACCTCAAGGATTGAATATCAGTTACTTTTCCTGTTGTTGTGTTAAAAAAAAAAAAACCTGACAAAAGCAATTTAGGAAGGAAGGGTTTAACTGCACTCACAGTTTAAGGATGCAGTTTGTCAGAGTAGGGAAGGCATGGTGGCAGAAAAGTGAGGCAGCTGGTCACATGGTAGCCAGAGGCAGGAAGTAGAGTGAGTGGAATGCAGTTGCTTAGCTTCCCTTCTCCTTTGAATATTCATCCTGGAAGTCCAACCCATGGAATGGTCCCACCCATCTCAATTAAGCTAATCTAGAGACTCCCTTACTGATAATCCCAGAGTTTTCTCTTTCAGGCGGTTTGTTGTAGAATCCAGTCAACCAAGCAAAATAGTCACAATCTTCAGGTCAGCAGTGCCTGCATGCAACAGACCATCAAGAACAAATCTGCTGACTATTAACATTCCCTCAGAGAAGGAGGGGTTAGGGAGGGTCATTGGACCTCCTGAGAATATAGCTGCTCCTCCCAGCATGCAATCTACCAGAATTGCACATAGCCTCTGGGCCCCAGGAGGTGCTACAGTTTATGGACTGTAGGTAGGACCTTAACCTAAGGAAGCTTTCAGTTCAGACACTCAGGAGGTAGAGGCAGGTGGACATTTGTGAGATTGAGGCTGGCCTGATCTACACAGCAAGCTCCAGGCCAGTTGGGGCTACAGGGAAACCCTGCCTAAAAAAAAGAAAGAAAAGAAAGGTCTGTCTACACACCTATGGAAAAACCATTACCCACACTAGGTGAACTTTCTTGAGCAGCTGCCTTGTCATCACTCACACTCCTGTCAACAATCCCTCATGTTTTATAAGTAACTCAGATAAACTCCTTGGTTCCAAAGGTTGAACTTTAGTGGAATCACACTTAGTTTTGCCACTGGGGCCTTATAAGGAGGGGATGGATAGACATTGTTTACCTCTCCCCAAGGAAGGAATTCTCAAAATACGAATCTAGATCCTGTTAACTTGACAATATTAATGGTCACAGATCCTGTAACATTCACTCCCAGGTAGCTTTCCTGCCAGTGCGAGTAAAGGGCCCTAAGAGGAAAGAACAGCTCTTCCTCAGGAAGCGTGGGATGAAGTGGGTGGTATGATAGAGGCTCTGCAAGGAATTTACAGGAAGGCACGGGCTTTAAAAAGGGAAAACGTGTTTTACTCAAGGTTCTAGTGAGAGATGCGATGTCTAGGCCAAAGCTGCTAGGTGGGAATGGTAAGACCAGAGAGGAAAACTGGTCAGATAGAGAAGGGTCCTCCAAATGGGAATTCTGAGAATGTCTGGTCAGAAATACCAGAAGAATTCGGGTTCCTTGTTATCTCTTACCCTTGCCTGGAAGCTCTATGTGAACATGTGACTCAGACTGAGAGGAGACACCTGAACTGACCAGTTCAATCCCAGCTTTTGCCCTAGGTCCTTTAAAAAGCCCCTGCAAGCAGCTGGATGGCTCCCTGGGGCTGCAGGCTTTGCCTTCTCTCTACTAAGCTCCCACCCCTGACTGTAGAATAAACTTCATTTTCAAAACGCCCTTTGTGGTCCATGAACTGCCTTCTTCAAACTGAGAGACGACCCCCGAAGGCAGAAGTTTTGTGTGACTGCGAGCTGCAGAGTCAAAGCTCCCTGAGGAAGAGGAAAAGGTCTCCCTCAACTCAGTCACCCCAGATTTTCAGGAGACTCCACAGAGAGGCATGGATGAAAGTTTCTTGGGTTGCCTCTGTGGGGGTCATGACAGGTGCAGTCCCTTCAGGGCATTTTAGGTGGAGGTTTCTGAGGGAGAGCGTGGTACTGCGGTCTCTAGATCTCTCCTCCAGGAAACCCAAAGCCTCATGGTTCTGCGCTCTGGTAGACCAGCAGTCTGATTGCGTGGTT